TCACATTTTAACAAACTGTACTGGAAAAATGAAATATAAGTTGAATAAAGTATATATTCATGCCATACATTGCAGAGGAAGGTATTGTTGAAACATTCATCATAGCTTATCTTTCCAATTCAATAAAAGGACTACTAAGAAATAGCAAAACTGGAGTTCTCTCATTGACTGATGTCCTACCTAACACTGAAATTGTGTATTGGCAGAAGAGCAAGCATTGGTGATGCCAGGATGAGTTATTCAAGTTCTAGGCAGAATTTAAGCCGCCAAGTCAAGTGTTGAAGACTTGATCTTTATGTATGTCCCAGAAATGTAAAAGTGAACAAAACCAAAGAACAATGCTAAGAATCCCTTGCTAAGAATCCTAAACTGAAGCAATAAAAGGCAAAATAAGCCAATAACATAGAATTAGCAGACTGATGTAACTCAGCAGCATTTCTTTCCTTCACCCTTCTTCATGTACTAGTATTTGATTGCTTCAAAAGCTGCAGGCAAAGCTAAAAGGACAAATCAAAGATCTTCCTCAGTTTAAATCAGTGTTTTGTTATTTGCAGATAAAATCATAAATAACTCCAGAAGGAAATAAAGTAGTATCTTTCCTTCCTTCCTGATGTCCACAAAGGACAGTAAGAAAACACTCCTGAATACCAAATACAACTCGGATTGGAGATGGGAAAAAAATAACCCTTTTCAAAACAAAATCAAATATAGTAGCTTGAGAGAGACTCAGAAGCAGCTCTCTTCTCTTAATCTATTTCCCTAGGAATAAATTCACATACTGGCTTTTTTGAAATCTTGGGTTGTACACTTCCTCACTCTCTTGGAGGGAGATTCTTGGTTTTCCTTGATGTTTATTTCAAAAAGAGCGACAAAATGTGTGAAATTCAATGCCAGAAATGCTTTCAGTTCTCTTTAAAGTATTATCTTTATCATGTAAAGAAATACAGCAAGTAGTTGTGCCAATTTTGTCTTTTAAGATAACAACTACAGTGGGTTTTTGAACTTACGACCCTTGTATTGCCCTAGCCTACCCTAGGTTTTGCTATATTTGTACTGTCTTACGTGACCAAAATAGTAACACGGAAACTTGTGGTCAGAACAAAGTAAAATGATGGTACCATCCAAAATAAGGAGTCCAATCACTGGTAGATGTGTCTTGTGTTACCTGGCACACTGCTTTCAGATATATTGATGAAGTGCAGGCTGTTTTACTATGCTTTATTTTTCTTGCTCATCATTAGCATTATTAGTTTTTAAGTGTTCATAGTGGGATTGAGTGCACGCTCAGCAAGTTTGCCGACAACACCAAGCTGTGTGGTGCGGTCAACACACTGTGGGGAAGGGATGCCATCCAGAGGGACCCTGACAGGCTTGAAAGGTGGGCCCATGTGAACCTCATGAAGTTCAGCAAGGCCAAGCGCAAGGTCCTGCACATGGGTCAGGCCAATCCCAAGCACAAATACAGGCTGGGCAATCAGTGGATTGAGAACAGCCCTGCAGAGAAGGACTTGGGGCTGTTGGTTGACGAGAAGCTCAACATGACCCAGCAACGTGCCTTTGCAGCCCAGAAAGCCAACCGTATCCTGGGCTGCATCAAAAGAAGCATAACCAGCAGGTCAAGGGAGATGATTCTTCTCCCCTACTCCACTCTGGTGAGACCCCACCTGGAGTACTGCGTTCAGCTCTGGAGCCCCCAACATAAGAAGGACATGGACCTGTTGGAGTGAGTCCAGAGGAGGGCCAGGAAGATGATCAGAGGGCAGGAGCACCTCTCCTATGAAGACAGGCTGAGAGAGTTGAGGTTGTTCAGCCTGGAGAAGAGAAGGTTCCAGGGAGACCTTCTAGCAGCCTTCCAGTACTTAAGGGGGCCTACAGGAAAGATGGGGAGGGACTTTTTACAAGGGCCTGTAGTGATAGGACAAGGGGTAATGGCTTTAAAGTGAAAGAGGGTAGATTTAGATTAGATGTAAGGAAGAAGTTCTTCACTGTGGGAGTGGTGAGGCACTAGCAGAGGTTGCCCAGAGAGGACGTGGATGCCCCATCCCTGGAAGTGTTCAAGGCCGGGTTGGATGGGGCTTTGAGCAACCTGGTCTAGTGGAAGGTGTCCCTGCCCATGGCAGGGGGGTTGGAACTAGATGACCTTTAAGGTCCCTTCCAATCCAAACCATTCTGTGATTTTTGATCTGTCTATCCAGAATGGTCTTCTGCCCAGCAGATGAGGTTACAAGGTTTGTAATGCAGATCCTTATACTATGATTTGTTTGATTAAAGCTTTCTGCCAACATCAGAGTGGGCATGGGGGCCGTCAGCTTGCTGACACTGTTACTGAAATCTGGAATAAAAGTCCTTAACAGCAATGAGAAGTTAAGAAGCAGGCACTCCTTTATTGCAGCGCTGGGCACACGGGGGATCGCTCCACCTATCGTGTGCACCTGTCTAGTCTATCTGTGCAGGTTAAATATACACCTTTTATACATATTCACTGAATTTCTGGAAAATGTTATACATAATCATTAACTTTCTGATAAATCATTAGGATATGTAAATGTCTCTTCATGCTGGTGCAGTGTAGGTCTCTGGTGGTCTTCTGTAGTCTTCCTCACTTGTCCACTTCTTGACCTCTCTTAGATGATTCTGCACAGTATGATTCTCACCATCATCTATATTAGTTTACATAAAAATGCATACTATGTCTATTCTTAAATGTAACCTTTCTAATAACTGGTCCTTCAGTCACACCATCTTATTAATATTCTTATGTTAAAACAATCATTGGTTAATCTCACTTAACTCTACTGATTAGAATCCTTGATAATTAGATCGAGGTGGGAAGGGTAAGGGCTTTCCAAGCAGCAAACTGGTGTCCATAACAGTTTCCTTCATTTCCTAAAACAAAACACTACAAATCAACAAATCTTTGTCAAAGTTTCGGTGGTTAACTGATTTTAGACAATACTTGAATTCTTATGGTTACACATAGTACATTTTCTAAAGTTCCTAAGTTCCTATGACTACATTTCAAACTTAACACTCCCATACCTATGCTTCACAATTTTCTACTTCTTAATCAAACCAAACTCTTTTATGTGATTAAATTTTGATTTCTTTACCAGAATATTTGCAACAACACCAGGAAACCTGGCTGTTGGAGGGCCATTAATCTAATGTGTAGTAAGATTAACTGGTCAGAGAATGTGCTGTACCTTCCATTTGCTGTATCAATTTACTTTCCTCGCAGTGTACAATATAGAGACATCTGTTGAGAACAAAAGAGGAAAGATAAAGGCAAAAAAGCGCATAATTTATGTAAGTAGGAGCACAGGCAAATGTATTTAATGTTTATCCTACAAATGGATCCCTTCTCTCTCTTCCATTCTGTGCTAAGCTTTATGTGGTTAAAAATTACATAAATGTATTTATTTGGGTAGGTTTCTTATTGTAGCTTAAACCATTATTCCTTTTTAAATCTGACCATTTACTGAACGAATAGAAGAATGTTATTATCTGAAAGGAGTAACAGGCAGATAAATTTGGTATGCATGCAACTTCCAGTGATGTCCTTTAAAGCAAAGGCATAATAGCAGCTGCTGTGCAGGCAGTGCATGTTGCCAGTGGAATTTATTTCTGACCAACTGTGTACTCTTTGACTCCAAATGCTCTGTCTGTATTGAAGAATTGCAGTGTATAAAAAGAAAAAGTGTTGGGGGAATTATAAGGAGGAGGACTATATGAGTAGGATAAACATAAATACAGTTTTTACTCATGATCGAGGAAGTATTCGAATCTAAGTTTTAGGAGCTGAAAAACTAGTAAATTACAGATTTCTGTTTTCTTAATTGTATGAATGCCAAAATACTGTTAATATGGTGTTTTTCAGATGGCTTACATTTGAAGTAGATATAAATGCAAATTATAGCAGCTTTTGATGGCACAAATGCTTTAAGTTACTTTGCAAATGTATTTTGCAAGTATGTTATTTGGCAAACATATATATTTTTTTAATTTGTACGAAGTACGAATACAAATAATAACAGCATCGACCTGTTTGGAGAACGTTTTCTTAATTATTTGTCCAACAGGTGTGCCTCAACCCTGGATTTCATTTTTTATGTGTGTTGAAAATACTCAGAATTTTGAAATGTGAGTAATTTGTAGGTGTTCAGAAATACCAAGTATAGCCTTTCTCTGAATACGATATAAAACTTATTTCTGGGTTGTTTTGTTGTTGTTGGTTTTTTTGTTTGTTTGTTTTCTTTCCTAAACTGGAGATGCAAGACAGTCAGAAAAACATTTCTTGGTTGGTGGTGTTGGGTTTTGATTGTTTTGGGTGTATTTTTGTTTTGTTTTGGGTTGTTTGTCCCGGTCCCCGTCCCCGTCCCCCCCCCAATTAAAGCATGCTGTGTGTGTTCTGGGGGTGCATCATAGGCTACCTAGGAAGATTAATTTTTCTCTCTTACTTCCTGATAGCTGTTTTCAGTATTCTGTATACTGATACAGCTTTCCATAGTCTTGGCAGCAGCTAGAGATGAGAAGTGCATTAAGTCATCTGGTTTGGGTCAGTGTCACTAGAAGATTGTTTCTTGCTGTGTATTAATGAGATCTTTCTTCCTTTAACTAGCAGGCAGGAGCTTTTGAGTAACCTGATATTCTCTAAAAAATACTTGTTCTCAATCATGCTCAAGAAGATAGGTCTAACATCTCGTTTGCTCATTAGGAATCCTAAAAGCTTGTCTGTATCTGGTTATATTCTTTACATATCTTTTGCAAGCTGTTCCAGCGAGTAAGTCCAAATAGACTCGAGACCTGCTTTTGGTCTGGTTGGGTGCATCTCTGTCCATGCCTCCCTAGGGTCCCACAGGTGATATGAAAGATGACAGTGAGAACATAAGTGAGACAAGCTTCACTGGCATTTCCCAAGGCATTTTTTCCTCCCCTCTGAAGGGTTGGGTTACCCCTGTGAGGAATCTCTTTACTAAGTGTGCTCTCTCTTTCATTTCCAGGCCAGAGCCTCAACAGAAAGCTCCCTCTGCACCTCCGCCTCCACCCCCGCCCCCACCTCCGCCCCTGCCAGAGCCCACCCCGCCAGAGCCAGAGGAGGAGATTTTAGGGTCTGATGATGAGGAGCAAGAGGATCCTGCAGATTACTGTAAAGGTGTGTGCATTCAGCAGTGTCGATGAGGGTAAACTTTGTCATGCAAGTCTTAACACTGGTTCTATGGAGGTTTTTAAAGACCTGATCTTTAATTACAGTATTTGCTTATACAAGAACTACGAACAACTGCTCATTACAGGTCCAGATGCACAACTGTCTTCAGCTTTACTTTTTCACTTAGCTTATTTATACATTTTGCTATAAAATATGAATATTGCATCCTTGTTTTCTTCCTGATGTCCTAGTTGTAAGAATGGAGAAGAAATTTTTCTTGATTGATGTTAGTTGTAGGAGAAACAAAACTACCCACACCAAAATAAACAACCCCTGACACACTCCGAAAGGTTCTAAAATGCCTTGATGCCTTTAACAACATTAACTACATTTAGTTTTTAATCTAGATCTTTTTTTCCTGTTCTTCTCTCATCTGCACCAGCCCAAGAAGTTACATGCTGCTTTTTCGCATGTTGTCTTTTAGAGCCCTCAGCATTGTCTGAGGCTCTCTACATCTTCATTTTAGCTCTTGATTTCCTTAATATTTGTAGTTGCTTGTATTAATTTTTTAAGTAGCGTTAAATGCATAAAAACATGTGACTGCAGTACAACAGTGTCAATACTCAAGTTTGTTTTAATGTCACTGCTACAGTTGCAAGTCTGTTCCCATTAGGGTAAAATGTAGTGTTCTTATATGAAAAATCATAAATAACAGGTCTCTCAACTTTGGGTTATCTATCATAGTAGATTTCAAGGATATAAGGATATATGTACTTTAGGAAACATCAAAATTTTATCACTTCAGATTAATGTTTTTGAACAGCCAAAAAGCACTGAACACATTGACTATGCCTGATACTCTGTATTCCTCATGTCAAGAAACACTTTCTGTGTCAAATATGATGTCTTCTTAATCAGAAGTTTCTATGTAAGCCTGGAGATGTGCTATTTTAAGAATCCCCTCTCCCAGCCTGGAGCAAGTTGGTTTGTATTTTCATATTTAACAATTGAAAGTCACTATTTCATTTTGGTGTAAGAAGTTTTATTAATGTGATACTTCAAACGTTTAATTGGTTTACAGATACCAATAGTGAAAACCAAACAGTAAACTCAAACTAAATGTTGAAGTCTGCAACAGGGAAAAGAAAAACATATTGCTAAAGCATGCTTGTATTTTTTAAAAAATTATTTCTGTTCCAGCATTTTTGTTCCTTAAGATAACTCTTTTGGTGTCTGTAACATCTTCCATCAGTGAGTAAGGATTTGTTGTTTAAACATCTGTTTACTTATAAACATCTGTATTTCCTTGAGATTAAGTGTTTCAAGGCCCCCACTTAATTCTTCCCTGAAGGGCTGCATTTAATTTCAAACAATCCATTGTTGTCTGTGTTCCAGTATCTCTTGCAAAATGTCACCATCTGGAGAAGCTAGATCACAAAACAAACAAACAAAAATGGTCGAAAAATAAGTTTACCAGCCTCCTTATGAGTTACCTGTTTAACTAGAGTCTCTGTGACTATAGCAGGTCAGTAGTGAGATTTGTATGTTTTTAAAATGAACTACATGTTACACTAAGAATACTTGCAGCTTTCCTGAAAAATTAAAGGGAACTTAAAGGTTCTTCTGAATTCTTCTGGTCTTGAAGTTCTGAACTGATGGAAGTATATTAAAGATGGTTCAAGCTTTGGTTAATTTGGATGTCATAATCATTATTTGTTTCCGCGAGAACAGTGCTTTTGTTGCTCCAGTAGATGATTTACCCATTTTCTGACCATAATTTCCTGTAAGACTGATTGGTACGTTTCCTTCTTTTAGTCTGCTGGAGTTGAAGTGAAGGGAAGGTCACCATAAGAATCTGAACTGAATGGCCAGATTGGGATGATCTGGGGCCATACAGACTTTCTGTTTGTTTATTTTATATTCAGTATGGGGAATGAATAAGTTATTTGGGAAAGAATTCCAGGGATAGCTCTTAGAAACATTATTTCCATTTTTTTTGAGAGGTTTTTCATTAGTTTGAATACGTTTTTCTGGTTTGGGTAATCTTACCCGTATTTACAGAGTGGAAGATAAATATTTGGAAATTATCATTTATTACTGGATTGTCTCTCTTCTTCCTAATTTTATATGCAAAATGGCAATCTCCCAGGATTCTTGAGTGAGGCACAGAGCATACTTCATCTATTCCCCACCCCAATCTGAAGTTTCACAGGAAGACAATTTTTATGAGGGTGTATATAATTAATTTTTTAAATGAGTTCAACTTTTCACCTGTTAACTGTACTTCCCATTGCCAGGGTATTTTTGTTACTGATTTTTTTTTTTTTTTTTTAAGGATATGTTACTATATTTCTGGGCTCACGTCTTAGCCACATTACATGGTGGTTACTAATAGTATTTTTAATCAGGAAATTGCATTAGTTTGAAGTAGCACCTGATGTGAAAGAGACAACTAACAGCCATAGGTGTAAAGCAGACTAACCTCTCTTCCCCAGGGGCTTTCTCCAGGGCCTGTTTAAATCTGTGAAATGACTTCTGTTGGTGTCCCTGAATTTACATTAAATGCTTTTCAAATCTTTAAGGAATGGAAATATCAAAAGTCCAACTATGTGTTTTTTCAAGGGGTACTTAGACACTGAAGCTAGTTTTTCTAAATTTCTGAAAAGCCTTGAAACACTTGGAGACTTTTTTCAAGAGCCTGTTGTGTCATGGATGTAATTGGAATTCTTTGCTTCTCTGATCATCTGCTTTGTCCCCTGGAGATGTCTCCCATTCATCCAGTTCACAAAGGGAATAATTCCCTATACAAGCATAGAACTAGCCAGCTACAATTACCAATACATTCAGGAGACATTTAGGAATAATGATCTCATTTTTCTGACCCTCTTTCTTGAGTGCATGTAGCTAGCTAGCTATCTGTGAGAGACACTTTTTTTTCTTTGTGCTGCAGTGAATAGCACAACAATTTTTTTTTGTTATTACATTATCAGCAGTGCCACTTATACATTGTGTATTTTCAAAGACCAATATTGTTTTTCCAAAAGTACATCATTATTCTCAACCCGTTAATTTTGCATAGATGCTTTCTTGTTACTACTGTATAGAAATATTTTCTGTATCATGAAGAACTTAAGTAATTACATTCATCATAGGATGACACAAGTTTTTAAAATGCATTTAACTAAGCATGTTGTTACCTGGTTGTCCACAACCTGTAAATGGGTATGTTGCTGACACGAATAATCAGGGAGTAACATGTACAGGAACGGTAATCGATTATTTCCAAAACTGCTCCTGTTATGGCTTAGGACAGTAGAAAGTATCTTGTGAAGTATATATACTCAGAGAATATGCTACCACTATTGGTATCTGTAGCATATGCTGGTGTATTGCTATAATTAGTTAATGACAGTGCTGTAGGGACCAAAATAACGCGGCTTTTACGTATATAGTATTGTTATTCTTGCAATATGTAGATTTTACTAAAACAACTTACCAACCCCCAGTTTATTAACTTGACTTCAGTGTCTTTGACTGACTTCCTGTGTTGGGTGTTCTCTCTCCTGTCTGTGATGGGAAGAAACTATCCCAAGTTGTTGATTATTTTTGACCCTTTGGACCCTTTGAAGCAGAAGTATGCCAAAAGCTATCTGCAGAGAGGCAGACTTACAAGGCACTTGTTTACCTGAACTATTCTTAGAAACATGTTTATCTGTATTTAAATTCTTCATCACTGAGTGTTATGCTGTTAACATGTTAAAAAAGCAAATATTTTGTTTAGTGCAAAAAAAATTACTTCTGGACATTGTTTTATATATCTGAAGGCTCACTAACACCCCTCTGGCAGTACAAAAAGCTGCATAAATTGTGAGTGTTTCTATATACATCTGAAGCCATATAACTGTTAAGGAATGATTTAATAGGACTAGATATTTAGGGAAGTTGTAAAACATTTTATGTCAGGTATGTTTTATGTAATTCTTGCTGTCAGGTCAGCAGACTTGATTCACTTCACAAATGCAAACTCTTTCAGTAATGGAGAGGTAGAATTGCTGTATGTTCTTTTAATCGTCCACCCACATCCATCACTTCATCATCCTGGATAGAGTTTTGTGGAAAGAACTGACCAAAGAGTAATAACTTTATTTTTTAAACCAGTCAATAGCTGTCTTAAAATAAGATAATATTTATTCATATTTTAAAATATTTTCATCAGCTGTTACTGCAAGGATGATTAAATAGACAATCGAATTAAAGTTTAGTTTTGTTTTTAATGTTTCTATCAGTATGGATTTGTATGTGTTCGTTTATTCAGCAAAATTTATATAATAATGAAGCTTCAATAGACTTGGGCTTCATTTGTAGCTGATACTGTTTCTTTTTGCAAATGAAGTGGACAGCATAATAGTCAACACTTAGTAGGTCTGTGTCCCCCATCCTTTTCTGGAGTGTAAATCTAGTCCGGTGTTCCAAAAGTTAATTCTTTTTCGTTGGAAAGTAAGAAGTTCCCGCTTGGCAGAGCTGTGCATTCTTACTGAGGTTGACACAGTTCTGCAGTGGAAATGAAGGTAGCTTTTTAGGTTGCTAGGTGAGTTGTCCTGGCAGCTTTTCACGAACATTTTCTCCCCAGTGATGGAGGGGAGGGGAGGTCTTCCCCCAAGGGGGAGTCCTGGGACTTAGTCCTAGTATGGGTCCATATGTCTTGGTCCTCCTGCAATGCCCTGTTACTGCACCTGAACTAGGGCCTTTGTTTTCCTTTGCCCTTTTTTAACTGAAAATGTTGGTGTCTGTATACCTAAAGTTGTGAAGTGCAATGCCGTGTGTGATAGTAAGTATATAATTCTCACGGGTTAAAAGTTTAAAGGTTGTTCTCATATCTGGGTCTTCATAGATTTGTGCAAAATTTTAATGGAAAAGACGAAACTTCAACACCTTACTGCTAGGCTGGGAGAGCTGAGACTGCGCTCTCTGTGTCTGTCCGTGCTACCTATGCACATCAGACTCATTTCTGTGCTTGTGAACATGCTTGACCCTCTGCGGTGGTATAAACTGCCAGGCAGGTGGGCAGGGAGGTGCGTGAAGTCAGTGCTGTATATAGCCGAGACTTGCTCTGCCCATCCGAAGCTGTTTGTTGCTGTCGCTTGGTTCAGACCGGCCCCTGCCGAGACGGGTACTTGTGAGTGCTGCTTCCCTGATGCTCTGGCCTGAGCTGTTGGAGTCTCTGCCAGCAGTATGACGTGCGGGAGCCTGGGCAGCTGCAGCCCTGTCGGATGGGTCAGCTTTTGGTTGAGGCTGTGAGCAAACCACCGACTGTCTGCTAAGTTTGAAGTTACGCCTCACAATACAAATACCAAAACTGTGCGTGTTTTAGAGTTTCAGTTTAGACATACCAACATCTAAAGCAATACATTATTCAGGCTTTTTCATTCTGTTGAATATATAATCTTTATAGTGCTATTGTACAGTTGCGTTAAATTTATTAATCTGCTCTGGAAGCTGTTGAGAAAAATTCACAAACTCTTGAACTTCTTGTAAGGCAAATGATGTTATTGGCAAAGAAAGGATATAAATATATCCAGATTTGATATCGCTGTTCCACAGATAAAAAGGAGGTAAGAGAGAAGTCCCTGTTTTAAATCCAAGGAATTAAGCGATAAGTTCAACGTTGTTGTCTTACCTGGGCACCAGTTCTAACAAGATTTTCACAGGATTTCAAAACAAATATAGCAACTTGGAGAAAGTAGTCTGAGGTTTTCCTAATTTTAAGTGGAATAGTCAGTAACTGACGATCCTGCCAAAGGACAGTTGGGCATGACATCGTGAAGGACCAGAAAGAGCCGAAGAATTGATTCCTTGACAGCTGCTCTGAGTCTGATGCTGGTGATGTCCTAGAGGGTTGCATGGTGCAGCTGCATTATTTTTTTGCAATTTAGGCAATCCAGTTAGCGGATGTTATTCTTAGTGTGTTAAGGTCTGAATAATAATCTTGTGTGATCACTGTCTTCCCTGTCTTTGACTGGGAGGAAGAATGCCTCTTTAAATATGAAGGAAATAAAAAGCTTCATTACACCTCTTCACACTGCCTAGAAAGCTGAGCTCCAGCCTGCTTTGTCCTCTTCACCTTTCTGCCTAAAGGGGCTTTTGAGGAGCTGTGTAGTGGTGTAAGTTAGGACTGCAGACTTTGGTAATTAAAAAGCAGTTCAGGCAAAGCCCGTAGCTGCCTGCTCTCTCTTCTTCCTCGCTGTAAAAACCTCAGACATAAGAAAAATGCATTGCTGCTGTGGGTCAGGAGCCAAGCAGAAGAGCATCAATAAAGTCTGCGTTGTTCTTAACATTTTCTCAGGAAGTATTTTATTGCTGCCTTTATTAGTAGAAAGCAAATGGGGATTAAAACAGTCACTGTTTCTGCAATCATGCAAAATATCTTGACTGGAGAAGCTTCAAATATGATAAAGAAATAATGTAGATCTTTTCTGTACTCTGCGAAGTGGAAGATAAGCCTAGAGAAATAGAGAACAGATGGTAATATTACCACAAATAAAAGCCATAAGAGAGAAGGGTAAATAAACTCTACAGTAGTTACAGGACATGAGTTTTTTCCCTCCAGGCCTAGTAAGGCAGATTTTTTAACATTAGATTAAAATTTTCTTTAGATTTCCTATTTATAGTACAGGACAATTTGAAGAGGAAAATTTATACTACAAGAATTACTTTAAAACGTGGGAATTATTGTTTGTTTTCTGAATATTTTTTCTTTACTCGTTTTTTCATGAAAGGAGGCTATCATCCAGTGAAAATTGGTGATCTTTTCAATGGCCGGTATCATGTTATTAGAAAGTTAGGATGGGGACACTTCTCTACAGTCTGGCTATGCTGGGATATGCAGTAAGAAAACTATTTCTTTCCATTCACTTTTTTCTTAATATGTTACTTAATTTTGGTTGCAGTAACTTTAATTTTACATGCATGATAAAGTTAAGTAAAAGTTTGCTATCTTTTTATGCAGAAAGATGTCTGCAGTCTTATTTTGCTCTTGGTTAAGGGTGTAGTTTATAAAAGTTCTCAGAAATAAGTATAATTCTGTTTTCTTTGACAAATTAGCTTTGGTTATATTGAATTTGCATGTTGTCTTGAACATGCAAGAGTAAGCTAATGTTTTTATTTCTGTTGTATCTTTAATGAAAAAAATACAATTATACCTTGACTGAATGATAAAACTTGTAACCAAATTTCGCTTTAAAAAACATTAGCATCAAGGGGACAAAATATTCAATAAATCAGACTGTTAACAGAGTATTGTTAAAAGTTGTTTTTAAGTGTAATTTCAGTGTTTCCTGTCAGAATACATTAGGTATAGTCTATTTAAAATTTCCCAACCTTCAGCTCAGAGCATGTGTTGAAAATGTTTTTGTTCTTTTCAAGGGGGAAAAGGTTTGTTGCAATGAAAGTTGTAAAAAGTGCCCAGCATTATACAGAGACAGCCTTGGATGAAATAAAGTTGCTCAAATGTGTAAGTATCACTCATGTAATACAGTTCTCAATACCAAAAATAATAGTAATAGTTTTTAAAATGTAGCAGAATATTGTTTTTTAATTTTTTTTGCATAGATTTTTTTTCTAAATAGCTGGCTTATTATGTGTTACCATGATTTCTGAAGCTCTGAAATATTAACCTAGTGGAAAGCTAACTAATTTGTATTTTAAAGTGAATTTTTTGCTAAAATGTCAGTGTTTACATCTTGGTTTAGGTTCGTGAAAGTGACCCTAATGATCCTAACAAGGATATGGTTGTACAGCTAATTGATGACTTCAAAATTTCTGGAATGAATGGAATTCGTATCCTTTTGAAAACATGGCATCTTCGTTTAAAATGATCTACTGAGATAAGTAAGGATTTAGTTCTGGCTTTTTATGTTTAGTCTTACTTTGAATATGTAACGTAGAAACACCAAAATGTAGATACAAAGGGTAGACCAGTGTGTAATGCACTTATTGGAGTGAAAGTAGCTTAGCTTTTCTAAATACAACGCAAAATAAAAAAAATTCCCATGAATCCTGTTAAGATCTGCTAGAACTAGATATAGTTAATTCACTTAAAAACTGGAGTTCCACCGAAAAGATTTGTAATCACTGAGGCTTATAGGAAATATGTTTTGCTCTAGATGAATAAAGAGAAAAAAGGTGTCAGTGTCATGAAGAAGCTGGTTTCTGTTTTCATGTGTGAAGTGTGAGGGCATGGAGATTCTTCTCTTGTTTATGTGGTCCTCTTTTGGCCAGGTGTTAATCTTTTTGGCAAAGGTTTTAAAAAGCTTTACCTTCAAATGCTTCCTTTAAGAAAAAAAAAAAAAGGAAAAAAAAAAAAGATGAGAGAGACAGTAAAATATGACTGAATATTGTTCTTGGGGAAAATTTTGGGTCTATGAATATATTTGATTTTAGAGTTGAGCTAGAGTGAGTTATCCATGCTAATTATATTAGATATTTTAGCAGCTTATTATATTATTGTGCTTTCGTTTATTGTTATAGCTGGTATTTATGTGTATGCTTGTTGTGTCTTGGAGCCCTAATAACAGACCTTATTGTTCATGGTGTTGTACTACCAGACAGAGACAGTTCCTGCTCTGGAGAGCTTAACACTAAGTTCATTTTGGTGATGTGCCTTCAGTTTTTAGCAGATCAGGTTAAGATGCTCTTCACCAACTCTCATCCTCTAGGAGAGGAATCTAGGAGGTGACTGTCAGTAAATCTGAATGCCCACTAGAAAGCGTCCTTTCAGGGAGAAGTGTGCAAGCAGTTGTCATCCCATCCATCTGTCTCTTGACATTAGTTATGAAGCCTTTGGGTTTGTGGTAAGTGAGAATGAGAGTGCAGGGACAAGTATTCTCAGTTACAGAAAGGTGTCTTAACTGCTTTCCCTTTGTCCCATTTTGATTTGTTTCCTGGTTGCTTCAGTGGTCAGCTACCATGGTAGAAAGCTGCTTAAATGTAGGTGAAGTTAGTGTAGTCTGCTTTTTTCCTAGGTTTTATAATCAAATTAAAATGAATTAAAATAAAAATACAGTTGCCAGTAGTAATTTCAACATGAATATAAGTGGTTTGTGATCAAGGAAGTTGCATAACACAGTGAGGCAAAGAACCCTGGTTAGTGTTTCTTGGTGCTGCTATTATGCTACAAAAAATACGTTTTAATTTGAGATGCTTATTAAGATGTATTTTATAAATACCTCTATCGTCTAACTATGTTCACAAAAAAATAATGCGACCAAAGCACTTCAGGTCTTCAGCTGACAGCTGTACAATTGAAGAATAATTAAAGTTATTTTTAGAAATCAGAAATTTTGACTTACTGTTTTTACTGTAAAACACTAATATGAAATGGGGAATAAGAAAATGCATTCGTAGCTATACATAGAAATAATTCTTATCAGCTTAACAGAGCAGCTTCCCAATAACGTTCTTAAATTATTGCTAAGATTCACATGTATGTATACATCTGTATTAAAGGTGAGAGCCATTTCTAAGTGTGAAGAGTAAATTTTGTTAGTGATAATATTTTGAAAGCATATCCAAACTTTATGTTCTTGAAGTATAGCACTTAAGTTGACAAAGCCAAAAGAGACCATGTACTAGGGAAAAATAAGGGTTCAGATAGCTTTGCGTTAGCAGGTGAAAACTGGACAGCTGATACTGATTTATTCTGTTTTGGTTTTACCCTCATGTTGAAAACTCTGGCAGTACAGAAGTTGTTTTATGTGGAAGGCAAATGTTCCTGCCTTACTGAGAAGTATGTTTTTCAGAAAGGTACAGTGGACAAGATGGGCTAATGCTGGACTAAAATTTAAGTTACAGCTGGAAGTCTGTCAGTCCTAACCACCAGTGAAAATATGATATCAAGTATCTTATACTTTGAGTTTTCTTGTGAACAGCTTATGCATCCTGAGTTGCATTGCTTATTTGAGCAGCAGTTGGTTGCATTGATTATTTGATAACTCCTTTTTGTCTTCTAGGGAAAGTAATCTTTGGTGCAGGTTCTTTTGGGAGGGAGCAGGTAACTGATTTTAACGTTTTGCTGCTACTTGTTTCAGTTTTAAAAATGCTATATTAGTGCTATGTTAGTGTTACCGAGTTGAACAGGTTGAGAGAAATACAGTAATTTGAGAGTTTTTCCATGCTCTGCTGTTTCCAGCTTCCTTTGAGCAAATCACTAAATATCTGTTCCTTGACTGTAAATTAAAACAACATACGCTTCATAGAGGCTTGATTATTCGTTACAGAATACATTGAAAAGTTAAAGCAAGACAGAAGAGAAGTGAGTGAATCCTTTGGATGGCTAATATCACAAAATGTTGTGGAGCTTCCAAACAGGGAAACTTGTTAAAAACCGTGTAGCACAGAGCTGGGAACGTGCAGAGCCATTGGCCTGCACTGTGTCTGTAAAAACAGTCATCTTTCTCCTAGGAGCTGTAATAAGTGTTTATATACAGAGGAGTTCTAATAATGTGTATTATGTTACACTAGACTGGTAATTTTTTAACTACTTTTACATTTTAAAAAGATTGACATTAGAATTTTTTCCAGGAGATAACAATTCTTGAACTTGGGCATGTTGGTGTTTTCAGTAAGTGTAAATTATTATGTTTGTCTGCACTGGATATTTATTAGAGCCTTAATAAATGGCACTTTATTTCAGTGTAGCATTTTTTTAATAAAAGAGTCAGTTAATTACATAATGAAACAAGTGCTTGGAGAGACAAGTGAAAAAATAAAGAAGGAAACATTCCTGACACAATCAGACATTATAATAATTGTAATAAATTGTTCTCCAGAGAATATACAGCATTAATTAAATGCCATAGAGCCTAAACGCTGCCAATCCAGAAGCAACTGTGACATATCCAGAAGTGTTCTGTGTTGGTACCAGAGCCTTATTTCATTTAGCTTAACTAGTCTTTAACCCTCATCAGATTTCTAAATGCTCCTGTAATGTGTGTTTGTAGATAGATAGATAGTTACAGGTAGGATTTTAGTGAAGAAAGAACAGTTTTAAGTACTTAAGCCTGTCAGCTGATTAATGTTATGTCTGCTGTCACTTCTGCTGCTCTGCTCAGTTTCCCCCGTTCAGACATTCCCCAAAGTGCTTCGAAGACTATTTCATAAAAGGCATGTATGTTGGGTGGGCTTCAGGTTTATTTTTGCTGGAGGACTTTTTGGACATACCCTTCTGTCAGGATGCTAGTGCTGTAGGAAGATCCTGGGGCTTGCAAGGCTGGTTTCTTAAAAGTTAATGCACAGCTTTTCCCAGACTCTTTGTTGTGGGCAGTCTTGCCTACAGTTAATGTTTTTCAGGTCAGGATAGTAAATGAGGTAACAGTCACATTTTTGCATACCTGCTCCAAACACTGAGCCTCCTCTGTGTCTTCTCCCCATCCCAGTTGCCTCCCCAGTACTGAGCATGCCTTGAGTTTGTCAGAGTCCTCCCAGCAAAACGTTGTAATCTTTTTTTTCAGGTAGGCTTCACTTCTCTTTCTTACGGCCCTCCCTCTCCTTGTCTGCCTCTGCCATTCCTCCTTGGATCTTCCTTCTCAGTGCCCTCCCCTTGCCTCTCAGCTATTCACCCCTTTCTCTTCTGGTTACTGGGAAGGCTTAGCACTTCTGTAAGTGCAAGGAATGGCAGGAATGTGCATTGGAGAGTCTGCAGCAGCAGCGGTCTGAAGGACTGTGGGCGGGTGCCCTAAATTTCGTTTCTGAATGCTGCAGTGTCTTGCCTTTCTGAAATCTCTGTTGCTGTAGCATTGCAACTTCACTGCGTGGGCTAAGTTAATGGGCCCTGCAGAGCTAATGTGCTCTGCTCATCCTTTTTGATGGCTGTGTGCTTTACTAGTGACTAGTAACCAGGACTGTTTCTTCTTCTGAATGGAACAGAGTTTTATAATATTCTGAGTAGATTGATACAGTTGGGAAATGACTATTCACTGTCTCCTCTAATACAGGAATTAAGGAACATGAAGTGAGATGAACAAGTAGTAGCAATGAAAATGTTACAAAATGTCACAATATGCTTTGACCAGCCTTGAGACCTTTTGGCTTTGACCAGCCTTGAGACCTTTTGGCTTTGACCAGCCTTGAGACCTTTTGGCTTTGGTCTAACTCCTCCAGCATAGGTGATGTAGATTTTAAAACTTCAGTTAGCTTTATGCATATATGTAGGTACTGGAGAAGAATGTAAATGACAGACTGATAGACAAGGTAAGTCTCATTTTGACACAAGTTAAGATGGGTTACTCTAAGGTCATTGCCAAGACTCTAGTTAAAAGAACTTGGAGAAGTTAGGTAAGATTTCTCCCCCAACAGTGCAGTTCCCTACGATTGGTCTCTGAGATACAGTCTAATTTAATCCGTTGAGATTTTCTTTCAGTATCCGTCAGTTAATACATTTTCTGTTATTTGTATTACATTAAACTTTGCAAGGTTATTGTATCACATAGTTAAGGTTTTAACATTCTTTCCAATTTCCAGGGTCATTAAGGTCATTCCCAGGTCATGTCTGAGGATTAACTCAGTATAGTCAAATTGTATAATTTCTTATTAGAATGTTGTGGCTGATAAAACTTAAAATTAGCTTGAATATCTGAATATTTTCTCAATAGAAAGGTAACCTACCCAGGTGTATTAAGTGTAGAATCTCTAATTTAGGAAGCCCTTGAACCACAAATCACTGGAAGTTCTACATCTTGTTTTTTCCTAATACTCCTCCCTGATCATCTACTGTTGGCCTCTGTTGGTGGCCAATAGTAGATGCTGGGTCAAATTAAACTTTTTGGCATTGTGTTTCATGCATGTTCCTTCCAAGTTCCACATTTTCTTTGTTCCTGAGTTCTTTGGTGATTGCCATTATTCTCTGCAGTTAAAACTGTAGGTGGTAAGAGATCCATTCTCTTACTACTTTAGTCTTTGTTGTCAAGTGATTCTTAATTGAGCCTAATCAAAAAGATGTTTAGTATGGTTCTCTTTCTAAAACACTGTTTCTGCAGGCTCTTGTTAAAACCTTCTATTCATATAATTTAAAATTTATTAGAAACTAGAGATAATAAGTCAAATCAGTACTTTTAACTGTTTCAAAGAAAACAAAAATTAATTAGGTTTTTTGTCTGTTTGGTTGGTTGTTTTTTTTTTTTACAAATACCTATTTCATTGTTCACCCTAATGCTATTGTTAACATGTAGAAATAACTGACAAGATTTGCATAATTAACATGTTTTATTTTAAGTTGTTCTGTGTTTGGGCACTGTTCTTGTATATGTTTATATATAATTGAAATGTAGTACCAAAGCATATACCACATTCTGCTCATTTTAGGGGGAACTGTTTTTCCTCTAAACAGGATGATGATTGCTTTAGCCAGTATGCAAACAAACATTTGTGTTGATCTCATCAACAAGTTTATTTGGAAATTATCCTTAATTAAATCCCAGATGTCTGTATGGTCTTCGAAGTACTTGGACATCATCTCCTAAAATGGATTATCAAGTCCAATTATCAAGGCCTTCCCATTCGTTGTGTAAAAAGTATAATTCGACAGGTAAGATTTTTTAATGTTTTAATAAGGTTTTTCCACCATTGTTAACAGTTTGAAAATTAGAATGATGATATTTCAACTGAACTCTTACTAATGAATATCTAAGACAATGTTATTGGTAATTCCAGGGGGGTTTGCAAAAGCTTCTTTCTGGATAGCCTGCATTTCTGCATGCTGGGGTGGGGGTGGCGGGGTTGTGTTGTGTGTGGGTTTTTTGGTTGTTTTTGGTTTTTGTTTTGTTTTGGTGTTTGTTTTTTTTTAAATCACTGGTTTGCCCTGATAAGGGAGTTTCCTGAGCTGCTTTAGAAAATAAAAAGTTGAAGCAATGAGTCTTTTTCATAGATGTAAGGATATTAATATTCAGTTGCAGTTTTGGTTGACATGTCATGCTTCTTAATATAAGATCTTCTGGAAGATAAAACATCAGCACAGCAGAACAGTGGGAATAATAATAATAATTATTATTATTGTCCTGGTTTCATCTGGGATGGAGTAAATTTTCATTCTAGGAGCTGGTATAGTGTTATATTTTGGATTTGGTATGAGAAGAATGTTGATGACACACTGATGTTTTCAGTTGTTGCTAAGTAGTGTTTAGACTAAGTCAAGGATTTTTCAGCTTCTTATGCCCAGCCAGCAAGAAGGCTGGAGGGGCACAAGAAGTTGGGAGGGGACACAGCCAGGACAGCTGATCCAAACTGGCCAAAAGGGTATTCCATACCATGTGATGTCATGCCCAGTGTATGAACTGGGGGGAGTTGGCCTGGGGGTATGGATTGCTGCTCGGGAACTAACTGGGCATCAGTCAGCGAGTGATGAGCAATTGCATAGTGCATCACTTGTTCTGTATATTCCAATTCTTTTATTATTTTTATAATCATGATTATTTTCTTCCTTTCCGTTCTATTAAACTGTTCTTATCTCAACCCACGAGTTGTACTTTTTTTCCTGATTCTCTCCCTCATCCCACTGGGTGGGGGGGAAGCGAGTGAGTGGCTGCATGGTGCTTAGTTGCTGGCTGGGGTTGAACCAAGACAAAACTGAACAAAAATTGTATCTCTCTGAAAAGTAGGTTCTAAAGGAAAAAACTGTTCTTTGAAAAATTATTGTCTATCTGTATTAAAGTTTTTGTAAAGTCAGAGGGTTAACTAGATGAAACAGTTGAACGTTTCACTGGGACATGTTCTTTCAAAATATGTTCTTTTGCTATACTATGAAAAACAAATTGCTGGGAGGTGATCTTAAGGAGAAATAGTGTCTCAGCAAGGAAAAATCGTCTCTCTCTTTCTCTGTGATTTTGTATATACTATGAATCTATGTGCAGTTAATACCTACAAATGACACATGAAGTATTTTGGCACTTACATAACTTGTATTGCCTTTCATCAACATTACCTGTATTTTATTAAGTGATCTGTTAAAGTAGTTACTTTCTTTGTAATTATTATTGTATGTCAACTGGTGAATATCAACCTATCAGCTCTTTAATCAGAATTAGCTAAATAACCTGATCAATGCAGTTGTTAGTACACAGTTGAAATTTTAGGTCCATGAATTTCTATACAACTAAGTGGGTCAGATACTAGAAATAAGGAGCTGTAGTAATGCAGTGCTCCAGCTGAACTGAGCTGTCTGCTAAGAAAAGGGAATATGTGTGTTTGTGGTATATGTGCATGTAAATACCCACTGTTTTCAGTAAACATTCTTTTTTGTTGTTGTTTGGAACATTTTCACTTTGGTTGCACCATTGTCCTGGAGTTTGGCCAAAACCTGAGAAATTACTATGTAATTTCTTGATACACTGGGTTTAGCAGCAAAGCCAGGTTTAGGAGCTCCCTGCTGCAGTTTACTCTTACCTCAGTTACAGTGCCTGTTTGTAGAAACGGGCTGTAAGCCAGACCACTGAATGGATCCAAGCTGAAAACAACCCTGTTTTGGAAGGAAGGTGAGAACTTCTGAACCCATCTTCACAGCATCTTTACCAACAGGCTCCTGTAACCTAGCAGAGGAGGATTTTCAGGTAGGATCTTCAGGGATGACCACAACCCGGTGAGAACTGGGGTCAGCAAGGACAGGAGCCTGAGGGACAGAATTATGGGGGAGGCTCTCAGTGCTTTCTCTGATCGTCATGACTGGGGGACCTGACTCAAGTGGCATATATAAATGCATACAGCATGGGGAACAGAGGACAAGGATTAGAAATCCATATGTGGTCGCAGAGCTATGACCTCATTGTGAGCACAAAGGTGTGGTGTGATAGCTTAGATCCCTGGAGAGCAGCAGTAGCCTGATAAAGGCACTTAGGGTGGCCAGGGAAGAGAAGTTGAGCTTAAATATTTGAATCTTTGCCGTAGAATGGGTCAGGGTGAGAGGGAAGACCAACAAGGGTGACATCATGGTATGTATCTGCTACAGGCTGCCAATTTCAGAAGTAGATGAGAAGCACCTTCTTTAGAAAGCTGGAATAATCTGGTTCTTACGGAGCCTTTTAACCACCTTACTACCTGCTCTGGTGGGGCACATGCAGTCAAGGAAATTTCTGGAGTGTGTTGAGGACAGTTTCTCACCATGGGGTGAGCTGTGTCTCAGCAAGGAGACAAGTTGGAGATGCACCTTGCTGGACTGGTTATGAATAAGTAAGAACTAGTTGAAAATATAGAGACTGATGGCAGGCTTGGCATGGGAGGTCCTGGTAGACAAGCTGAATGTGAGTCAGTGGTGGGCTCCTGTGATAATGAAAGCTAACTGTGTAGTAGGCCACATTAGCAAGAGTGTAGGCAGCAGAATGAGGGCTCTGTTTTAGTACCAGGACACTCTACAGTTTTGGGCTCCAAGTGCAAGACATTGGCTTACTGAACTGAGTCCAGTGAAAGGCCACGAAGAGTGTTGGGGAGCTGCAGCATATGATGTATGAGAGGTCTTGGAAGAACTGGTTTGTTCAATTTTAAGAAGAAAAGGCTAATAAAGGAGGAAACTTTTGATCCCTTCAGGACAGATACAGAAAATGGAGCCAGACTTCTCTTGTCAATACACAGAGATAGGACAAGAAGCAGAGTTACAAAAAGAGACATTCTAGTTACATATTAGGAAGAAATTCTTTGTAATGAGGGTGGTCAGGCACCGGAACAGTTTATCTACAGTGTTACACAGTGTTATGCAGTCTGCATCTTAGGAAATAGTCAGAAATGAACTGGATAAAGGCTCTGAGCAGGCTGGTCTGATTTTGAGGCAAGATACAACTTTGAAGCCGGTGTGACTTAGGCGGGGAAGGTTTGCATCACACAATCTTCCAACCTAAATTACTCTTTGCATGTAAGCAAAGGTAAAAATTCCAAGTAATTCAAACACTTGATACCTGAAAAAAGAGGAATGGGTTAATCCTGAAAGATTAAAAAGGTTTAATTTTTGTGAGGTTGGAATGAACTGTTTGGACTAGGGAGAGTGGCATTGACTGTTAAGACTTCCAGGTTGTTCATCTTATTAAAGATAACGCAGATCCTTATTCTTTTTTCTACTCAGACAAAACTTGTGCTACACGTGCTCCAAAAACTTATTTATAAAACTTGAATATGAAACAATTCAATTATTGCACTGGTGTTACTATACAGCAAACCATTTTGTTTCAGAAAGTACTAAATTCCATGCTACAATTGAAAAGGAATTTTTAATGCTATGATTTGGACTATTATTTCCATTTTTGAGTACTTTTGGACATTGGGACAAAACTAGGTTTATTTTAAAATGCAGCTGAGAGTTGAGCTTCTTAATAAGAAATTTCAGTTCAGTTTCAAGCAGGTTTTTTCTCCTGGGGTAGAGTTAGATGAACTGTCATGCAAGAGAAGACCTTGCAGAATTGAAAAAAAGGCCAGTTGCTGTAGTTCCTTTTTTGCAGTGGAGATAATTCAAACTGTCCCATTTATTTACTTTTGGAATCCTTACTTTGGGTTGTAAAATATATAGCATCAGTCCCTTTTGAGAGGATCATGTTCTGAAACTGATGCTGAAATGAGCATTGTGTGTTTGATCAATGAAAATTTTCACTTTTGCCTTGATCGACAGTATAGTAAATAATCTGTTTAATGGGTCAATATGGTGTGGCTCCTTGTATGAAAAAAAAAGAAAAAGAAGTTAATATTAATTAGAAACTGCAAATTATGGGCTTACTTATGTGAACCTAACCATGTGACCTTTACAAGGGAAAAAATACAGCCTTCTAATTTACATTTTTGATTGTAGCAACAGGGTCTGTCGTAATTTTTCAGACTCACAAGATGTTACCCATTTCCTCTTTTTTCCTTTTCCAGTAGACAAATAAATAAAAACTGGGAGTGTTTTCCCTGTTCCCCATCATCTCAGATACAGTGCAAAGCATGTCCATGTAGTACATGTTTCCGTACTGGTTTAGTAGTACAAATGTGCTTCCAGTTTTTAGGGTGAAGAAGTCTGATCCACATTTTAAGAGAGCTAAGAACATTCTTTCTAATTATAAAATTCTAGCAGAATGATCCTTATGGTAAGTCATGGAACTGATTGGGATTCTAAAAAATATTTTGTTTTCTTTTTTTTTCTTCCCCCAAAAAGGACTCTTAAGCCAAGTTAAAGACAGAGCTGTCACCCTAACACTGTTACTTAAGAGGGGGAAAGGCTGTCCTTTTAAAAGTGGGAGATAATAAAATCTAGTTTCACATGAATTCCACTTCTACATATCGCAGTGGAACAGGTATTTTTTCTTCTGAATGTTTATGGCTTTCAGTGTACTCTGGAATCTTTTTTTTTCTTGGTCTCAGAATTACAGACATTCAGTGGTGATTTGTAAGATAGTCTGTAGTGTAGTGGGGGAGGGAAGAGACTTTTATAATCCATCTTCATGTTGCTATTGCTTTTAATGCCTCTCTTCAAATTTGAAGTCACTTAACCACTAACTACCTTCCCAGTATAAACCAATCTTTCTTCAACATTTCTTACTTCGAGACATACCGTATGTTCTTTCAGTTGCTCTGGCAAGTAGTCAAGCATATTTTGGATCTGCAGGGGAAAAAATCCAGATTATCAAGAATGCATCAGTTTTTAGGTGTACCATTGGCACTGACACGTGAGTCCTGCTCAAGTGAACATACAGTTTTTATATAGGCATATAAAGAAAGCTTTTCAGGCAGTTGCTGTTCTAGTCTAGCTCCCGAACTGGAGAAAGAAGAGCCTTGCACTTGAGGTATTTCTAGGATACATTAGCCTGAGCGTAAATATCATACGCATGCTGCTGCTTTTCTTCTCTTGAGCTGCCTTGTGTGCTGGATGGATGTGCCAGCTCTGGTACTAGCTAAGGACTGGGTGGTAGACTAAATAAATGTCTTTGTAGTCTATTACTGTTTTTTTGAACCAACATGTTTTGCTTTTAAAGTTCATCCTAGCTAGTTGTGTCTTAAACGATCCTGAGAGCAAGGAGCTTGCTAATTCATTTATAAAGTACCTAGAATGGCAGGATGTTCTTGTAGCTGGAGCTCATGAGTCTGGAGGTCTGTTTGCTGCTGTAGAAAAAAAGTGAAAGAAGTTTTTTTTAAGTGGGGTCAGCTAGGTTTCTGCTTTTTTGTCGATTATCATAGCAATAGCTTGGTTTACACTGTTACATTATTCTGTATTGAATAATTGCAATAATTGACTCCCACAGTTTATCATACCCAGGTCTTACGTGAAATACTTGTAAAATCACACAAACTATTGTATTTCTGTTCCAGTCAGAATTAGAGAAATTTTTTCATTGTGTAAAAATCATGGTTTAATTCTTATTCCAGAATGCATTTTTAAGACTTAGGATATACAGGTTTGATAGGAGCTAGCAGAATTTAGCCTACAGAGAGTGTGAAAGACTAGTGGAAAAATACATGTGACAAAGGTAGACATATCGTTATGTGACATCTTAGTCACATTAAAAGCTGAATTACTATTGGTATTCTAAGGAAAACTATAGTTAGCATTCTCAACAACTCATTCCCCTTTTTGCTTTTTTTTCTACTCAATTGTAAGATGATTATTCACAAACCACAAAACTTCAGTTACAGTATGTAGTACTTGCAGTGGGTTTTTTCAAATAACTGTCTTTTAAACAATCAACCAGTAAGGATTAGTCTTTCTGACCGAGCAGCCAAATTCCTTTTTCAAAGGAAGGTGTATCAAGGTTTTTTACACATGTGCAGATCAACTAAAGAGCACTTGGGAAATGGAAGTCTAGAGAGTAGGGTGCTGTCATCAAGACAGTTCAGCCAGCCATCGTCTTACTCATCAAAGTCTCAATAACTGGATTTATGAGCTAATTAAATTACCCTGTCAGGCCACATATGGACTGCAGAGAGTTGGTTGAACATCTCTGTACTACTAATAAATACTTTTATCTTGGTCTGGGTAATTAAAATAAACTCTTAAAAAATCCTTTTGTAATTAGGTACTTCAAGGTCTAGATTATCTACACAGCAAGTGCAAGATCATTCATACGGATATAAAGCCAGAAAACATATTGATGTGCGTGGATGATGCCTATGTTCGTAGAATGGCTGCTGAAGCTACTGAGTGGCAGAAGGCTGGTGCTCCTCCCCCCTCTGGCTCAGCAGGTATGATACTACATTTAAATGCAATGTAGTAAAGTTCCATCAGTGTATTAATGCTAACAATATTTTGTTTAATGAAAATGATCATTTTAAATAACTGTGTGTGAAAAATGCATGTTCTAGTTAATCCTTATGCTCTGGAAACTATCAGGGAAATGCTTTCTTCTCAGTTTTGCACATTCAAATTTTTGGGGTCCCCAGAGGCAGAAAAAGATTCATGGTATAAACTTACTCTTCTCCCACCCCACAAGCTTTAACGGCTGGGTTTTAGCTGCACTGGGGCCTTGCATCTCTAGAATTGACAATGATTAATAAACTTACCTAAATTATATGTCTAGTTCTATTACAAGTTAATCAGCATCCTTGTGAAATTATCTGCTCTCTTGTCAGTCATAACTTATTCTCAGGATGCAATGAAAAGTCTTAGAGTGCATAGTTTTTCACGCTTGAAAATGGAATTTATGTACCTAACTGAATTTGTGATAAGCCCTTCTACCTAGCACTGTATGTGAAATGTTTTATGTTAAAATTGCCAAGAGTTTAGATAGGAACTGTACATTATGTTCAGCTAGGAGAAAGCAAGGTAAAGGAAATTCACAGCAATCAGTAAAGACAAGCAAAGAGGAAGTGTCGCTTTTCCAGTGATCTTTAGTACCATGGTTGCTATTTATTTGCCAGTTGAGCACATCAGCTACAGGCAGTAGAGAAATAATGTTTAAATACCTTTGTAATATTGTCAGAAAATATATCACAGATTACAATCTCTGAGGTATAGTAAAAATACCTGCTATATCAGGGACAAATACTGTGGTCAAAATCCATAAATATTTCACAGTATTATATAAGTTAAGATGCAAAATCTTATAAACTGTGAATATATTGTATTGAACTTTACATAATATGTAATCACATAGCTAAAGACTGTATGTTGTTTGTGTGGGAAGTAACTTGATTTTGTTCATGCAGCCTTTATATTGCTTCCTGACATTAAAATAAATATTACTTTAAGGAATATATGGATGGAGTTCTTACCACACTTTGTTCTTAACAAATTGTAATTAAATCCATGGCTTTCCACACAGACGCTGAAGATGTGTTTTCTTTACAGCATTTCAAGAACAGGTTCTGCATAATTACCCTTTTTAGAGCAGCGATGGTACTCAAGTTTAAGAATCTTTTTGAAAACGTTGCCCTTTCAGGGGCATACAAGCAGTTTCATCCCTGACCTTACCAGCAGGAGCTGAAGCTATAAAAGAGCTCTGAATTCTCAACTGTCTCTGTTCTGTTTTTTATTTTGCATTTGTTAATTGCCATATGCCTGTATGTCTGAAGAAGGTCATGAGAGGTTCTCTTCCCCCGTTGAGTTCCTCTTTTTCACTTCTACTTTGCCTCTGTCTCCCATATTTGGTTATTTCTATTGGTTTTGATTATTTTGGGAGGTGGGGTGGGTGTGTGGCTTGTATTGCTGTTCTGTGCGTTATCACAGTTAGTTTGTAATCTCATCAGACCTAGTCATCGATGGTATCCTTCTGAGAGATGCTTAAGGAAGAGGTCCATGCTGGAGATGCTTTTTTTGTGGTGGTGTGCTTTTTGCCATAGGCACTTCTTCATGCCTCCAGTCCTAGCAGTCAAACCACTACATGCACGTTTGACTTTTCTGTTGAGTGCAACACAGTAGTTGTCTCTGTTGTTATTCCCTGAACTATTTAGAATATGTCTATACCTGCTCAGTCAGCTAACTACATACACTTAATCTGTGACAGCTTCACTCTTCACTGATTCAGACTTTCCTTTCTGACTTTCATTAACTCTCCACCAACCACAATAGAGTAAACAGATATTGATGCTAGCTCCTTCCAATTCCATATGCTATAATGGAGACAGCAGCAGGTACTTGTAAAGAGTAAAAAATCCAGCTAAAAAAAAATTCACTGCCTTATATTTAGTTAAGAATATTTTTACATGATTTCTACTACTTTCTGCTTTTATGGAGTTGTTTTTGTAAAAATATATCTTTAAAATTTTATTTTTTTCTTTTTAGTGAGTACAGCTCCACAACAAAAGCCTGTAAGTATTGTTATATAATTCAAGTTAACTATCTTATTTTCTGTGTTTCTGTAGGTATTAGTAGCTATCAGACTGTTGGTAGTCTACCCTTTTCAAAAGCTTCCTTTGAATAAAGCTTTTCTCTTTCAAAGAACACTTTTAATGTCTTTGGCCTTACCACTTTTAAGCACAGTATTTCTCTGATGGAAACTCTCATAGACTTACAATTCTATAGCGAAGTCAAAGAAAGTTAAGTATTGCTATTTTCATCTCTTGAGGAATAATCCATTCTGTTCAAATCCTGACAAAAATGGGTGCCTGCACTAAATATCACGCATTGCAGATAGCTTAAGGACTTTAAGGCCTTAATCATCAAGGCCTTAAAGGAGAGGGTTTTTTAGGAGGTTTGAAAGATCTTTTTGCCGTATACATACAACAAATAACCACTGATAATACCACTGCTTAGAAATATCTAAGGTCAAACCTGCTTTCTATGTCTGTGTGTACAGAACGTATATAATTTCAGTGGGCATACAACATGGATGAAAATCAATAGGATTGTCAAATTAACTGTCTTGTTTTGACTGTACCATAGCTTCTTTTGAAGATAACAGGATTTCCAGATAAGCCTTTGAGAAAATAACATTTACCTTTGTTCCTTGTACTTTATTTTTGAATTATATGAGGATTTCTTACTGGGATATCTAAACAATGAATGAAAACTGGATAGATTTCATTTATCAAATAGTAAAAATAGAAGTCAGAATTCAGTTAAAATATAAGAAAGTGTTTCAATCCTAGCTCAGATGTGTTAATTTTTCTTTTCCTTGTTATTGTACCTGAGTTTTTCAATCCTTATGTTATATAAAATATGAAACTTTCTGTAATGGCCATCTGTTGTTTGTGATTCATATGTTTTGGGCCAGAAGTGTATAATAAAAATGCCTTCCTTTCACTGGGAAATAGCTGAACAACATAGGATTTATTTAAAATTCTTTACTGTTTTCGATCTCTTTGGCTTTCTTGTATCATTTTTCTCAGCATTCTTTTGCAGGTCATTACCTGCACTGTACAGAGAGAGAAATAATATATAAAATTTACATGTAAATAGCTAGATATGATAGCAGACTATCTTCTACATACAATATAATCTGTTAACCTAGATTGAAGTTTATTTTGCCTAGTTGAGATTATAGGATCATAGGAATTTCACTGTGGCATCTTAGATGTATTTTGCTCTTGTATCTGATGGACAACCATGTAAAAACATGTATAACCATATAAAATTTTGATTACTTTTTTACTTCATATAACCCTGCACCATTCTTGATGTGAAGTAAAATGGAAAAAGCAATATATTTGCTATTTTAATTGTCATCCAGTATTTTCAAATAAAAAGTAAACATACTGTAAGTGAATTTGCTGTGAGATGCCTTGAGAATAATTGTTCAGGGTTTTTTGTTTCCTTTTGTTTGTATTAATATTTCAGGTTGGAAAAATATCCAAAAACAAAAAGAAGAAACTGAAGAAAAAACAGAAGAGACAAGCTGAGCTGTTAGAAAAACGCCTGCAGGAAATAGAAGAACTAGAGCGAGAAGCTGAAAGGAAAAAAATAGAAGAAAATGTAACCTCAGCTGTACCATCAAATGAACAAGAAGATGAGTACCACCCAGAGGTGAAACTAAAAACAGCTGATATAGAAGAGATAGTAGATGAAGAACCTGGAAATGATGATGGTTAGTATTACCTGCTTTTATTGACCCTGAATTTACTGTTTCAGAGGAGAAAGTAACTGCAGCGTTGCATCTTGTGCAATGAACAAAATCTCCAAACTGTTCTAGATCATTAAGTTTCATTTTCTCCTGTAGGTAAAATCATAACTATAAAGTCTAAAAAGGAAAAGTAAAGTCAGACCCACTACAGAAGTGAAGAACATCAATAGCAATCTAGCTATCAAATCCCATAAAAGAGCACACAGAAAATTCAACAGAACAGTCAGTTGTCATACCACATTATGTGCCGTAACTGAGTATCTTGGTGAAATAGAAGAAAAATAAGATTAATTTCTATTCTGTAACATTAATGTAGTTAGAGTCATCGTTGCTTTCCCCTTTTCTTACAATATTTGTTGTAATGGTCTATCAGATAATAACGATTGCAGCTTCTTCACTAAAATTTTTAAGATGTCTTGTTAAAATTCTTGTTTAGTCCTGGTGATTTGGAGCATAATTGTTATGGTCCAGCTCCATTCTGGCTTCCCTGGTCTTCTTGTCAACTGTTTCCAATTCTGATAAAAATGTAACTGTCTTTTGATTTGGTTTAGTTTTGTTCTGCTCTTACTGTGAATTTTCCTACTTCTATGACGACTCACTGTTTGACACAGATTGAGTTACAGATCTGTAAAGCTTGCTTTCAAGACCTCATGTATCGTCCCTTCATAACATTCTTCTCTTCTGAATTGTTCCCTCCTGAACCACTTCCTATTGTTTATTTTTTTCAGCAGCCTTATTAGTTCTTTCTTCCGCCTTTAATTTAGATTTTAAGGTGTTTTGCAGTGATCTCAGTGTGTGCTATGTCAGAAGTCAAGTAGTTACTGAAGAGTTAAACATCATTAATGCCTAATTTCAAAATGCTGTATTGATTTATGATCTAATGTGTTGCTCATTGAAATTTTTCAGGTGAAGCAGAAGATCAGGACGAAAAAGAAGACACAGAGAAAGAAAACACTGAAAAAGATGACGATGTTGAGCAGGAACTTGTCAACACTGACCCTACAGACCCTAAGTGGATAGAATCCCCCAAAACAAATGGCCATATTGTGAACGGCCCATTCCTATTGGAACAACAGATTGAAGATGAAGATGAGGAAGAGGAAGAATGTCCAAATCCAGAGGAGTATAATCTTGATGAGCCAAATGCAAAAAGCGATTACTCTTATAGCAGCTCCTATGAACAGTTTAATGGTGAATTGCCAAATGGACGTCATAAAATTCCTGAGTCACAGTTCTCTGAATTTTCAGCTTCAGTGTTCTCTGGGGCTCTAGAGTCTGTAGCTTGTGGTTCTGCTGTTTCTGAAGGATCAACTGTAACCGAAAGAGAGGAGAGCAGCCCATCTCATGACAGGAGCAGAACAGTTTCAGCTTCAAGCACTGGGGATTTGCCAAAAAGTAAGTATTCTTCCTAGTGGCATATGCCGTGCTTGAAGTCTCTTGGAGCTGTAGGGAATGTCTTACGTAGAATGAATAGTGGGGATAAACCTTATGTATGTTTTATCTGTGTTCAGTGACACATGTATGCAGATACTACTTTTTACTTGTTTGGGGTATTTTTGGTGAAAATTCAGTACAAAGCCTTATGGGTAGGCTGTCACACAATTCTTTCAGTAACATAAAAGGACCTTTCTATAACAGAAAAGAACTGTATCACACTATTTCCCTGACTTTGAACATAAGGTCTAGCACTTCTTAGTGATGTTGACGTCTTTCTACCTACAGATGAAGTGTTTTAAATGTGTTTAGTTTCTGGGTTGGTGCCAAACCTACTAATGTCCTGGCCTCCTTCATGCTTGAGTCTGAAGAGTGCCCACTGAAAAGATGGTGCCTATGTGCCATCCTCTGCAGTCAGAGAAATTTGTGCAGACTGCCCCCAAATGCTCTCTTCCCTAGGTACCGCCCAGACTTGGGGAGGGAAGTGGGATATGGGGTCAGATTAACCATAGCTAGGGTTAGGTTACAGCTGCAGCCCACTAATGGGAACCCTTTTTCCATTGCTGATTTCATCTTCTTGGTTTCATCTACACTGAACATTTTGCTCATTGAATCATACATCGTGTGAATGAAAAAATCTCAATTATTATTTTAAATTTAGTATTTCATGTTAGAAGACTTTTGGCAAAAGGCAGAGCAGATATCTAGAAATGAAGGGGAGGCCTTTAAGTTAGCTTGGTCCCAAAGCATCTTGGTGAATTTTGACCTCCTAGGACCAGGTTTCAAGGAAAAGCAAATGTATTAGTTTTGAATGGCTTTTAGAAATGGGAGGGGGGGAAACCACTTTTGATTTGAGTTGATGGAAGACTTTTTTCTTGTAGCATGAGTGTAAAAAAAAAAAAGAGGCAAGTAAGTGGAATAGAAAAGCAGTAGTTAGGTTAAGAAAAAATTGTAGTAGTCAAATTAAAGGCAGTAGCTTAGCTGAGCTTACTTTAAGTAAATTAGGTGATTTTTCTTGCATTCGAAACTGTGAGTTTGATAGATGGAGCTTGGAACGCAATGCAAAGGTATTCTTGTTAAATTCAAACAAATTTACCATCTTTAAAATTTAAGAGGAAAGCAGAACTACGATTTTTTTTTTTCTGCTGTAGAACTTTGTTTTTAAGGGTATTAGATAAGTTATTGTAGATGAAATATTGACATTGACAGGTCAGTCTATACAGGAAAGAGAAAAGGAAGGTTGTAGTTGCAAGTAAGCGTTATTCCCATAGTTTAAGGGCAGAAGGTGATTATGAGATCATGTAACCTGACTTCCTTTTATAACAAGCCAGTAATACACCATCTATTAAGCCCAGTAACTTTTCTTTGGCTTAAAACATATTCTCCAAAAAGATACCTGCTCTTGATTTGGACAAATGAAATGATAAAATAATCTAGTGTGGTTGAAGTGTGTTCCACTGGTCAGTACTCAGAATTGTTTCAGAAGAATGTCGCAATTTTGGATTTGTCTGGCTGCAGCTTCTAGCTATTACTTCTTGTTATATCTTTTCTCAGTCCTTAAAAAATTCTGTAATATGCTGTTTTCATTCATTAACGGTTCTTTTCTGTTTCAAACGGTTCCTCTCAACCTTTTATTAAAACTCAACAAGATGAAGTCTTTGTAAGGCATGTTGCCAACCCTCAACTCATTATGTTTTTTCTGTATTCAGCATGGTTTTGGACATTTAAATTCTGGCCACTAGAACTGCTCAGATCCAAAACTTTAGCCTGTAAATCGTGATTTTTGAAGATATGGAAAGTGAAATCTTGGTGTCATTGCAAAGAGCTGGAGTTTTGCCATTGAATTAAATAGCTCCAGGGTAGTACACATAGGTTTTATTTATAGTGCCAGTGGCTAAATGATAAATATATGGGTTTCAGCTTTATTAAAGAAAATACTGAGAGACTAAATCTGTAAGCGGATAGAAGAAAATGAGGTAGCTTAGGGAGAAGATCACCAAGCCTACATCAACATTGTCGCAGATGAAGTTACTAAATTTACATAGAGATGTATCGAAAAATATGGTCGAGTGTATTTCTTGGTTTAAGACTTTAGAAGAGCAATTCACACAGTTACAGAGTCTGACAGGTAAGGTGATCTGCAGGCAGGCAAGAAATGTGAAATAAAATACAGCAGAGTAGAGCTGTATTTCTGGAAGATGTCAAGATCCAGGCAAGTAAGTCTTCCAGTCCATCTCCTTACACTCTGTAGTCCCTGAAGCAATGTGTAGGAGGTTCCTAGATGCCTGGTAGCCTCTTCCTTTGTGTTGCTGGCAGTATATAGGCAGGAAGCCTCTACTCCTGGTTTCCTGGGGTGATGCGTAAAATCCTCATGCCTCCAGAGAGTAAAGGCAGATAGTAAATTCAGTCACAGCTCACTTCTGCAGAAAGAGGAAAAGCTGAACATCATTAATATTAATGGCATCAATAATAATGTTGGGTTAAGCAGTAATAAAACAGATTAAGGTATTTAGAAAGAAGAAAGATACAACAGATGCAGGTTAGTCAATATTTTTAAATGGTGCTACTTTCTCAGTATAACTTTAGTGCCCTTTTCTGTAGAAGTAGGCTTTATTTGTTCCTTTCTGTCTAGGCATTGCTATACATCATTAAGTAACATGGTCTCATCTTATTTTTTCAGGATACTTGCCTCATTCAGTGCACAGACCAGTTTGTGTTCAGTGGATGAGCAGCTATTAAGTTTTTGTCTTACAAAGTTTTAACTGCATGACCAAATGCCCTTAAGATAGATCTATTAATTTCCTCATGACTCTCCTCCTCATTCTAGTGTTTGAATGTTTACTAAGTATACTATCATGCTGAGACTGTGAGAAGAGGAGGTGATATTTCTCAGTTTTATGGAACTAGGACACACAAAAGTGAAAATCAGAAATGCTTACTAATTTTATGCTGAGGTTGAGCTCCTTTGGATACTTATTTGAGAGTACTTACTAAAAAGTAAGCTCCTTTTGACTTCACTTTCAGTTGTGAATGATCTGTGTTTCTCAAATTCAGAATCCAAGGTCTCATATTCATCTCTAGGAAAATACGAGACATAAACTTCATGAGTTCCTGAGAAAAACACAAAAGTTTAGGCACTTGCCTGTTATATTGGTGGTTTTTTAAAACTTGAGTCTTGGACTCCATTCCAGCTTTTTTAGAGGACTGTTTTGTTGAGGTCACTGCCCTTCCTGTCTTCTGCTGTTCAGTCCTGTCTTTTCTTTACTTCTCTCCCCTGGTGGATCTTGCTACTTTCTTTTCTGGTTAGCCAGTATTTCAGTGCCTTGATGGTCTCTTCAGGCTTGCTGTCCCAGCAGTTGAAGATCTTAATCTGATTTCAGTCACTCCTAACTCACCATTAGACATCCTTGTCCCATGTCTGGTGTATTTTCCTCTTCCAATTCTCTGCACCAGTTTAACAGATCATTATATCCCCATTGGAGTCCTGGGTGCCTTTTGGATCTAGTACCTCTTTCTAACCATCAGTTTCCAATTTAGTCGTCTTAGCTTTGGGACAAGGAAACTGAGATCAATCCTCTGCTGCTATGTGATTTGTGATACTGGGTTCTGTCTTCCACATTCAAGTCAATCTGCTTTCTTTCCAATGCAGTTTAGGAGCTAGCAGGTGGTATGTCCAAACAAAGAAAAGCAGCAGTCCTCCACTGTCATATGTTAGGGTTATCAGTGTCCCAAGAGCCTTTAAAGATTGCAGGATTAATTAGATTAAAGTTCTGCCTTTTTAGTCCAGATCATACTCAATGCAAATAGGACCTTCAGTGAACTTTGATTCAACACTGAATTATCTGTGAAATGGGTGACAGTCCCCTAGGCTCTCAAATTAGCCAGGTTTTGGTGAGTCTTTTCCCCTTTGGACAGGTAAAAAAAAAAAGAAAAGAAAAAAATCCAGCCAAATCTTATTTACCTTAGCCAAGAATGGGAGTGCAGAATTTATTTTGTCAATGAAACTGTTCCAAGAACATGTCTTTCATGTGGAGTTCTTGGAGTTTGAGTTTTAACATTTTCTTTCTGAATCTGTTCTTGGAAACATATGCACTGTTTTTGCTTAGAAGCTCCTCTGGATATTCTAATAGTAGTTATTTGGCAGTTAAAGAACACAAAAAATTTGCACTTGAAATGTGTAAGGATACTTAGAAATCAAGGTAAGAAATCCTATTTATGTTGCTTTAATTTTTCGTAACATTCAGCAAATGATTTTGATGTCTTCAATGTATTACAAAACTAGACAAAGTGTCAAGTCAAAACTGCTTAGAGATAATGAACAGTATGCTCAAAGTACTAACTATTCTGTATTTTGCTTGTGTTAGCAAAAACTCGTGCTGCTGACTTACTGGTGAATCCACTGGATCCAAGAAATGCAGATAAAATTAGAGTTAAAATTGCTGACCTGGGGAATGCCTGCTGGGTGGTAAGTAGAGCAACATCATTTTAGCTATTTAGCCTTCAATATTTAAAGCAGGCCTTTTTGTTGTTTGTTTTTTCCATTAATGTGGTTCTTTCTATTTTAGCATAAACACTTCACAGAAGACATCCAGACAAGACAATATAGATCCATAGAGGTTTTAATAGGAGCAGGTTACAGTACACCTGCTGATATCTGGAGTACAGCATGTATGGTAAGAACAATACAATGTGTATTTTACAAGAATAAACCTCCTAAACCCAATTGTTTATTTAGTGAGGAAACCTGATGGGGATGGTTCTGACATTTTGACACAAATACATTATCATAAATTATGTCATATCAGATAACTACTGATGATTTTTTCCCTTTATTTCAATTTCTCAAGCTTTCTTAATCAAAAGGAAGTATATTGGAGAACATTTCTAATTTTCATTTGATGCATTTTAAACTTGCAAGTTTGGAGGGAATTATATGTATATTTTAAATTACAAAGCTTAACTGAAATAGTACAACTGGATGTTTCCTTCCCATCTTAGAATCTATCCAACTGTTTGCTATGTTTCCATTCCTTTTTCTTGCATAAAGTAGCAAGAAAGTCAAATACTTCAAATTCTTGCCAAGTGCAGTGAAAACATCAGATTAGGCTTGCAAATCACAGCTTTAGGTTCTAAACTTTGAAGAGGAGGAGTTAGTTTATTAGTAAAATACGTGGTAACATTCTGTTGAATTAGTTTTAACACAGTAAAATTGAAATTATAGATTTTTAAAAATCTTTGAAGAATAAGAAAAGTAAAAACTTAATCATTCAACTTTCTGAAACACTTATTCTGTAATAACTCTCTGAGGACAAATAAGCTACAATGATCTCATTAAAGATAGTTTTAGAAATACATTTAGAAATATCTGTCTATTTTAAAAGAGAAAACCTATTCAAATCTTTATATTTTACAAATAAATGTCTGAAAAGAATAAGTGTGTGAGGAGGAGGAGAAGACTCAAATACTAGACACAGTTTGGAGGCGTGGGTGATGAGAAGAATTGCAGAGCTCAGAGGGAGAGGAGGAGGATTGAAAGGAACATAAAATCCTACAGATATTATAAGCTCAGCAAGCCATGTGTTGGAAGTAACTAACCCATAAGTAAAATTGCAAGTATGTTTTCTCTAGAGTTTAATACTAGCTTTTGCTTTAGTACACAGAAAAGAACATCTATTTCCAAATTTACTTTTTCATTTGGGGGCAAAATGTAGAATTTTTCTATTACATTGAAAACAAAGTGTAGAAAATATTCCACAGTTTTGATCCCCAATTCATTGAATGATTCTTCTCTTAACTAACTACAAAATTACTATAGAGACTTCTCGTTCCTTTCACCTGATATTTTGTAAACCTCAGTTGAGCTTGATACCTTTTTATGGTATTGAATACCCTATATTCACCTTCCTTTAAGGGTGTAGCTACACCCTACTAATTTTATATACAGTTGCGTAGCTAAAGCCACAAAAAAATGCTGAAGTCTGTCGGTGATTGGGTTTAAAGAAAGTGGGGTACTTAATATCAATATCAACAGGTAGGGAATATAATATTCTTAGAATAATTGGGGTCGTCCAGCCCCTTACACTTTAATTCTTTTCCATGTTATATAAGTGTTACTGCTTTCTTCATGCGAGTCCTTTCTCAAACTCAAGAGGAAAAAAAAAGGCCTGAAGCAGCTCTGCCACTAGGGCTGTCTTAATTCAGATTCACAATTAGTGATGAAATTTCAGTATTTTAATGAGAAAATTATACTTCTGCTTTTTTGTTATGTAAGCTTTAAAGGTATTAAAGCATTTGAGGCAGAAACACTGGAATTCTGTCTTCTGCCACCGACTTTGGTTTTTTGCCCTTAAAAAATGCTGTAGAGATTTTATACTCCTCCAACAACTGAATTCAACAATTGTATGTCAGTGTTGTTATTGTATAGTCGTGTAAAAAAATAGAGATCAGTCTCTGAAGCTCACCCCAAAAATTCATAGTTTCAAAACCCCTCAGGATCTGCTTTCATTCCAGTGTGGTTGAGGAAAATGGGTCAGAGCACTGTGAGTGCTGATCCTCTATTGGATGGAAGACAGCTCTGAGGTAGGGATTGACTTGAAGACCTTAACAGCTCTTTCTGCAGAGGACCTGTAACAAAGATTAACTGCCAGGGCAATGTTGCTGATGTGGAACTGCAAACTCCCAATTAACTTACTTAGGCTGTCTTTTGAAATGATTGTTTGATTCTCTCCAATCCCTAAAGCAGCCATGAACTGTAAAGTACTGAAGTGTTTTAAGGCCATTGTAGTCCCACTTGCTTTCTCAGGTTTGGATTCCTTGTTGTACCTAGGTGTGGTTCAGAAAATGGCCTTCTAGGTTACCTTGCTCTTGTTTCTCATTTAATTCACTTTATTCTGTAATGTTTCCTGGTGCTTCTGTTTTCAAAAGGGTTGTCTGCTGGAGCAGGAGGTGGAGGCGTTGTTTACTTTCAGCCAAAATACAGCTCAGATACCCTGTTAGCCATGTTGTCCAAGGCTCTCAAAGGAGAGCAAGGTGACTTCTTTGTCATGTTGCTTTGCTTGTACAAGTCCAAAGTCATTAAGTACATTTTTGGGAGTAGTACTATGCAAAATGAATGGTCCAGCAGTATTGCCATGAATTTTTTTCTTGGCGAGTTTCCATCCTTCCATACTTGGCCCAGTGTGACAGTACCAAGCACATGTGAAGTGGTATCCTACCAGCTGACTCTGTATTTACTGCATACAGTATTTCTCATTTCGTCCTTTTTTAAAACTGAAGAAAAAGAAGTTTGTCAATTAAGGGGTAGCTATATGTTAAGTGACCTAAATTTGAGGTTGTGTTCAGGTTAGGTAAGTAATTGCTCTGATCATATTCACCTGTCAGAAATACTACATTTGTAAATGGGTAAGGTGCCACTGATTTGCAGTGGGAGCCGTGTTACATAATTACAGATCCTGTCCTTCATTCTGATTATCTGATCATGATTTTGACTTTGGGTGAGCTTTCTTGTCTCACTTTCTCTACTGAATGATAAAGCACATATTGCAGAAGTGTGTGCCTAATATGAATGTTGTGAATTAATGTGAATGCAAAGTATGGTAAGGTAGTATCAAAGCAAAGATGAGATGTTACACTTTTAAAACCCTTGCTTACAACTGCGTCACTGAGCTAGTTCTCTGAACTGGCACTGAAAGAGGGTAAAAAATATTTTGACCTCATTTGGATGGAATTGTGTGCAAATACATCTTGTACATCTGTGTGTACCCATGACCTTCAAATCAGAGATTTCTGACCAGTATTCTCACAGAGACTGATGCAGATGTGCTCTTCACTCCTGTGTGTAGCTCTTGGTGACAGAAGACCTGCTGCTTCAAAGTCATGGTCACGGTCTTCATCTCAATGGGCATACACAACATGGCTGCCACTCTCCTAAAATGGCTTGCTCACAAGTAGTCCAGAACACTCTGCTTGGTAGTAAACAGCACACATGAAGACTGCTTAGCTTGCAAAGTAGAAGAGATTCTTCATGTGTTATGTATCCACTACTGTGTCAGATATTCTAGATCATGTCTCCACTAAAAAAATGACAATAAAAACAGGCCTTTCTTTGAATTAATTTAGGGTCCATAGGGTTTCCATGTCCGAGGTTTGAGTGTACATAAAATGCATCAATCTTTTCACATCTCTTGGATTTTATGAAGGACCACTTGGAATATTTGGGACCAGGATTCACCTGGGATCTTGGTCTTGTGCTTTATGGATCTCCATTTGAGCCTAAGGTTTTTCACTGCCTTTTGCTTGCTAATGAAATAATCTTGCTCACTGGGAACAGCATTGCCTGTGAGAGTAGCAGAGCTGCTAGTTCTTTTATTGGCTTGTATTTATGGCATAAAGTGTTGTCAAGCACAGAGGTTGTGTTTTATCATAACAGCAGCAGACTGTCTTTTTTCATCATACCATTTGCTCATCAATTTTACTTAGTCTTTAGTAATGAGGATGGAGATGATGATGGTGACGTTTTTAAACAAAAGTCTCTGATAACTGTGCCCTGAGTGTGCAAAGCAACTTTCAGAATACCCTTTACGAATCTGGCTTTTAGGACATGATATGTTGTGTCTACATGGAGTGCTCTCCTCACCTGGGCTCTGCTAGTATGGGTTGGCTTCATCTAGCCATCAACTCCATGGTTTTGATGCAGCTTTCAGTAAATAATAGCCCTGTTTTATTTGTATTGTCTTTACTATGGGAGTAGCCAGAAATTCTGGTCAGGGTTACTTGTGCTGGAAGTGTACATAAACAGAGCCATGTAAGCACTCTACTCAAATAGCAAAAGAAGGAGAAATAACTCAGTGCTAATAACCTTACAGTTCTGTTTCTTTTGATGTTATGTCAGTGAATAAGTAGCATTGTAAGCCAGCAGCCTGTGAGTTGAATCTTCTAATTTTAGATGATGAGAGTGAGTATCCTCAGGCCAGTACCAGTCCTCTGCTCAGGTGATGCGAGTCTCAGAGTCTTTAAGAAAAAGAAAAAAAAAAAGGCGGGGAGGGGGGAGAAGATGATGCATATCTTTGGAGGCTTATAATCGGTGCACGCACGATGTGCTGTGAAGCTAATGAAAGAAGTTAGATGTCAGTGGGCTTTTCCAGACTATGACAAAGTTGTTTGCTTGTTCTGTGCTCAGCAAAGAATGCAACAAAGTGTAACTTAAAATTTTTTTTTTCCCCCAGACTTTGGTGACCTAGGTCTGAGTGGTTGTTGCTATCATTTGCTGGACATTTATAAGTTTTGCTAAGGAAATTGCACAGCACCCTTTTTTTCTTTTAACGGTGTGACCTGTTTAAGTGGGATACTCAGCTGCTCTCATGGAAAGCTAGACACTGGGAATCTCTCTCCACATTTATTAAATTCTAGAAAATTCTATGTTCCCTTGCTGTACTAACCCTGTTTTAATTCTGCCAACAGGGAGGTGCATCTCTCCTTTTCATCCCCAAAAAAGAAACAGATTTGGAGCCAGCAGTGCTTCTTATAGGATTGAAAACACCCTTGATCAATCAATTTTATCAGGCTGAATTTCAACATTTGCAGTATTGAGAGGGTTGCTTTCTGTGGAGCAGAAACTGAACAGGCACTGCATGGTTTAGCATTTCCTAAATCTCAAAAACCATGGAACACAGTA